CGCGGGCTGCGCCGTCGGTGCCGAAGAGGCCACGCTGCTTCTGCTCCGGCCTCGCTGGACTCCCGCTCCCCACCGCGCGCCTTTCCTTCTGCTTGTATTTCTCTCTAAGTTTTCAACTGTTAGTAATCTGAGGAAGAAATCTAGTGTGCGGCCCGAGTTTGCCCGCCTGAAATTCTCACGTGCCCCGGGGGCTGTGCGCAAACGCCACCGTGGGCAGGACACGCGCGACCGCGGTCGCCCACCGGGGCCCTCCAACCCATGCTTACAGACTTCTTCTTCCTGCGGGATCTACAGTATTTGAAGGATTTAGAGGGCCTCCCTGTAACTGCCCCATACCCAATGAGCGAGGAAAATTTACCTCACCGGAGACAAGACAAAGGACGCCCTCCCCAGTCACTTTCCTTCCAGTCCAGTCCAAGCTTGGGGCTTCTTCCTGCTCTCCCTTCAGAAAAAGGACTGGGAGTGGGAGAAGGGAGCTAGAAACTCCCACCTGGGCAGTCAGCCTTGGCTGGGGAGGAGGTAGGGGAGAAGGAAGCCAGGCAGAGCAGATCCTAGAGCCTGGCTTCATCTGGGGACAGGCTGTGACTGCTGTGTCGTTACTACAGGCAGCTAGGTCAGATAGAAACTGAGGGTTGAGGGCCGGGGGTTAGCTCAGTGGTTCCGCTACCTGCGACAAAAGGGCAGGGTCCCGAGTTCGATTTCCGGTACCAAAAAGAAAGAAATTGATGCTCAGTCTGAGGCCCTGAGCTCCAGAGAAAGCCAGCAGAAATTGTGGCTGGAGAAGTGTCTGCAGAAGACCAGGCCTCGAGATAAAGATGCAATGGGCAGGCCGCCTGCCTCCCTAAGAGATAAACAGTAACTTGAGATTATGTCATGATTAGCACCCGGGTATAGTAAATCCAGATAGGCATCAGTCACCCAAGTAGGTGACCAGAGCATCTGTCCCATCCCTACCCAAAAATGTATTTGTCCTTCCCAGGTTCCCCTGCCGCGTGACTCATTTCCCTGTGACATGAACATTAGCCATGAAGCTATGCTTGTATTCCTGTAGGTTGATGGTAATCTGACCTACAGTGTGACTTTGCCTATAAATTACCAAATTACTAACAAAGGGACTTGCTGGCCACCCCACTCGGGACCCTCTTGAAAATCTAGAAGGTATTCTTCTTTCCTTATTTCCAGTCAAACTCTCCTGACTTCTTTCTTTGGTTCCAGACTTCATTCCTCCATGTTGCGGGGCCCCAAACTCGGCACACTGGACACCTAACGATGAGCTGCATTTCTCCTGTATCGATATCCGGTCCTACAGTGGGAAAGGAAGGTCGGAGGGCACTGGGGATCCCTTGGGAGTTCATCCTCTGTAGACATTCTGCCATAAGGAGTGTAGGCACATCTTTAAGTCCCATCTCAGAACTACAAGGTGTAACCCCAAATAATCCCCTTCTGGTCTTATTGCCTAATGTTCCTTTAAATGGAGAACAAAGCTTTCCATCACATAACAAAAGCAAAGCTTGGTATGCAAATTTGATAGAAAACAATGGCAGGGTAGGAGTTTATTTCAAAGTGCAAATGGCTGTTCAGATGTGACCACATCTTGAGGAAGAAGGCCTACAGCTGGGCACAGGACCGGCTGCAAACGCACTTTACATCAGGCCTTGGTCTTTGGGCTCCCAGTTGACGTGAGGAGCGCCCTATGTCTTCCGCTCCTGCAGCTTCCTCGGCCCCGGAGCTGGCTCTACTTCAGGTCCCCAGGCTGAAGCTGTAGATGAAATGCGGGGCTGTGATCCCTTTTAGACATGAAAATCAACTTGATCCAATTGGCTCCAGCTTTAATCCCAGATTTTTTTTTTTTTCTGGTTACCTCAAATGCCATTTGTCTTCTAGAGCTGGACCACGGGAAATGGGAACGTAGGAAACCGTCCTCATACCTGAACTCCTTAACTACTTTGAGATCAGAGAGAGAATGACTCAGAAGAGCAGCGTTTCTCAAAGCACAGTCTGCACAGACTCAGAATTGAAAGCAAAGGCCAAGAATCTGTACTTTTGAGAAGTACTCTCTGTGGTTCTCACAGAAGAAGCCCTGCTATAGAGAGAAAACGTGCAAGGTACAAAGCGCGGGGTCAGAGGAGGCAGCAGCTCTGTCCCTGGGAGAGGAGAGCTGAGTCCTTCTGGCCTGGAAGGCTCTCGGTGTCGTGGAACCCTGGTGCTTCCCAGTGGCAGGTCCCTGATCTGATCACCCCCAACTCCCTCACCCTCACCCCAGCCTCCCACACACAGGGGTTCTGGCCACTGGGAAAGTTCACTCAGCCTTGTTCCTCACAGGCCAGACCAGCAGAACTACCCGGACTCTCTGAGTCCCTGCTGCTCCCCTCTGCACCCTGCTCCAGCGCATAAGCAATCACTAGAGGAGGACGTCTCAGAAAATGCCAAATGAGCCAGGGATTTAGCTCAGCGGTGGTGCCGCTGCCTGCCTCACAAGCTCAAGGTGCTCAAGGTCCCGAATTTGATCCCCGGTACAAAAAAAAAAAAAAAGAAGAAGAAGAATATACCAAGCAAGGAGCTCTCAGGCCCTTTCCAGGCTTTTGTAGATCATGATCTCTCTCACTATTAAGCATTTGCTTCTTCAACTCCCCAAACTCAACGTATGCATACTTCATGCCGAATTAAAGACAGGCCCTCATCCCTCATTAAGTATAACACTGTTGATGGGAAAGAAATGTCTTGGCTCCTTTCTGTTGCAATACAAAGTACCTGAGATCGGGTAGTTTAAAAGAACAGAGGTTTAGTTTGACTCCTGAGTCCTCTAAGAGCATGGCCCACCTACTTCTACCCGTGTCAGTGAGGAGTCTCCTTGGTGTCACCAGGATGGGGGCAAAATGTTACTCCAGACCGAGTTCATGGTCTCCCAGCATGGAGGAATGAGTCGCAAGCCAAAGGAGGAAGTTAGGGGAGTCTTATTGGACTGAGAAGATGAAGAAGAGCTCCTGGGGTCCCGAATGGAGTGGTCACTGAGGCACTCTGTCAGGGGTGCACAGCATGGGTCAGATTACACCAACCTGTGGTGGCTAACACTGACCCAGCAGGGACACGAATTACCTGTCACTTGGCAAGGATTTAGGGAAAGATCTCAGGAGTCTTGGAAAGGGAAAGGAGTGTGGGTCTAGGTGTCCTGGCCACCCACCCAAGAGTGCGGACGGATCAGGGGGACCAGGTGGTGGTAATTACAGAGTAATCTCAGGCTGCTCTTTATCTCTAGGGAGAGGAGGCAGGCAGGCTGCAGTTTTTCTCTCCTGAGGCCTGGCTCTCTCCAGACCTGTCTCTGGCTGCAACGCAAATGTCTGCTTTTTGTATTCACTACCTTGAGAGCCCAGTTGCTCTCTGTACAGTAACATCCGTCTAACTTGGCGGTCTAGAATAATAACACGGTAGAATGCATCGCATGGCCAGACAGAGTGAGCTGGCCAGAGAGACCTCCCGTTTACAGCAAAGCTGCTCCTTCAGGAACCAGTCAGCCACCAGAGGTAGGCGTGTTTGATGCCGGAGGGTGGGTCACTCACGACCTAAGCAGCTGGCAACAGTGCAACCTCCAAATCTGAACATAGCTGGGGATTTGTTTCCAATATGCAAGATTCGGGGGATTCATTCAAAACACAGACACAAAAGATACTGACAATTCTGAGTTTTACAAAATATTCGTTTTGTCCTTGTAAATCTTATTGCATCCATATAGAGCTATCTGAGCTTTTTGAGGGGTCTTTGCAAGTGCTCAGGGTCTGCGCTCAACATGGTGGAGGTGTTAAGGGGCTGGGAGGAAGCAATGAGAGCCTGTGTCTCCGTGGGGTCCCTCCTGCCCTCTTTCTGCTAGCCAGTCTCCCTCCCGCTCCTCCTTTTGGCAGAATCAAACTGGAGACCAGCAGTCAGAGGAGACTGGGAAATGTGGCGTGAGATCCACAGCACCACTGTCCTGCCCGGAGTTCCCCAGGCGCAGCAGCTGCCTCTGGGTAAAGTGGGCCTTTGCAGAGGACTCACCTGGAAGATTGAGACCAGCTTGTGCCGATCAGATCACAAAGGTTAATTCGTGGGTCTCTGTAAACCCCTCAGCCGGAACCACGAGGCCAGAGCTGGAGTTGGTTGACAGGTTGAAAGGACTGAGTTATCTGAGTCTGTGTTTTCTTCCAGCGGGATGGTATAACTTCCAGGGCCGGATGGGAGACTCAGGAAGGCGGTTGGCAAACAGAGGATGCTCAGAATCCATCTGTATTTGCTTTATCCGGGGGTGCAAGGGCAAGTAGACCTGGCCTTCGGTCTTCTCACACAGCTCGTCAGGGTTCTGGCCACTGTCTCATCTGTCAGCATTTCTGGGGCAGAGGACATGGTCGTCAGTCCAGGGGTGACACGGTCTGTACCTCATAACTTACAGCTTGCTCTTCCTCCCCTCTTCACCTGTAACACTGTAGTAACACATTCCATTTACACTATTTTTACATGTCTTGTACATTTCTCACTTACTGTTTTTAGCACATCTTCTGAAATCCACATCTCACAAGTTACTTGCTTACATATTATCTGTAGTTGTATGTTAGCTCTCATTGCTGAGACAAAATACTTGACGTACACAATTTCAGGAGAAAAGGTTTGTCTGGACTCAGGGGTTCAGTCCCTGGTCTGCTGCCTCCAAGGGAGAAACATCATGGTGGAAGTGACGGCAAAGGAGAGCGCCCGGCAGGAAACAGGGAGCCGGGAAGAGCCCAGAGAAGAAGGGGCCAGAGGCCAGAGACAGTCCCCAGGTCTCACCCCCATTACCTACCTGGCCACGCCCACCGTTGCTTTAGTAACATTTAGGTGTCTCTCAAGCCAACCAAACTGACAAGCAAAGTCGGACATCACAATACTTCGTAAAGCCGCTGAATCCCACCCGTCCTGTTCGCTTTTTTTGATCCCTGCAGCAGAGCTGTTGAGTCAGATGATGGAGCAAAAGTACATTACACCCTAGTCTGACAGAGCAGAGTGTGGCAGGGTGAGGTTGGGCTCAGCGATGCGGGGTAAGTATCTGTCACAAACCCAGTGTCGTATATTTTTCATTCCGGTAACCATTTTCCTTGCTCTGTTTACTGAGTCCCCTCTTTGGCTGCTGACCTGATACGACGCTTTGTCGTGTGTCAGTATTTTGTGTACCTAAGGGTCTGGTTCTGGATCTTCGTCCACTGACCAACATGGGAATCCCGCTGCCTTTGCCAGATCCTTCCTGTAGCTTTGACTC